CCCCTGGGGGGTGATTTCTCGCTTTCTGTCTCTATGTCTCTGTCTGGCGAGCGCACGCGCCCTATAGCGAAAACCTCCCCAAAAAAAAAAAAAATGCCAGTCTTTCTTGGAAACACCCTTGCAGACATGCCCACAAATAATGTTTTACCTGAGTATTACTTAACCCACTCAAGTTGCCAAGTCACCTTCTCACAGATCAACCTAATCAAACCAATTCTTTCTTTTTTTTTAGAGAGAGAGATTTTTGCTATAGGGGCATGTGCACTCACTGGAGAGCCAGAGAGAGCCAAAGAGACAGAAAGTGAGAAATTACCCCCCAGGGGGATGGCCACACCCCAGTCCCCTCTCCTCAGTTCTCCTGTCAGGATTTTAGGCATGCATGTACACACCTGCCAGCGTGAGTTTTACGCCGCCAGGTCCAAGACTCAAATCGCGATTGACTACATGGGAGTCCGGCGATGTAACCATTACGCCATCTGCGGGTCCCACCAATTCTAATCAATAATTACTATATTAAAATAAAATAGCATATTAGCTCAAGGCTTAGTACATTGGAGGCCCAAATAAATCCAGAATAACTCAGGCAGGTCTCTCTCTTATTTTTTAAAAGTGTCCCCATGCACCCCAGAGCAGAGAAAGCCTTTCAGTGTCCTCGCCTGGACAGTCTTACTGACACTGAACAGAAAGACATACACAGCAGCAGTACCGGAGTACCTGCTTACGCTCTGATGTCCGAGGTTCTCTCTGTCCTTGCCGTGACTCCCTGTGTTTTGCTGAAAGACGCAGAGTTAGCAGCCAGAGTGAAAAATCACACAGTGTAGAGTGCCTCAAGAGCCAGGCCAAAGGGGGCGAATTTGATCCTGTGATCCAGGGGAGTCACTGAAGGATTTTAAAACAAAGGTCAGTGGGCCAGCCCTGTAGCACAGTAGTTAAGTGCTGTGCAGAGAGGCCGTACCTCACCTGGCCAACCAGACTTCAAATCCCCACAGTGGCTGCTACCCGCCAGGCACACACATGCCCAGGACCCTGATAGGATGGAGAACTGGAGGAAGAAAGATTAATGGGAGCCCATTCAGGCCCCATGGAGGGGTGCTTCATCTTTCTCCTTTCCTCTCTTCCTTCCTCTCTATCTGTGTGTACACACGTGCCCTCTGACATAATAAAAAAGAAAAAACAAAGTTTAGAAAAATACATGGAACAAGTTAGAAAGGGAGAGACTTCGGATAGTAGGAGACCCATGTAATCATTCAGTCCAACTAGGAGAGAGAAGCCAAGAAAATATCAATTAGGAGAATTTCTTCAACTTCTCCCTTCTAACCCAGTCCCTTAGTGTTGAAGGTAGTGGTTTAGAGAATTGGATCCAAGTAGTATTTGTGTTGTGAACTGACTTGACTAGCTCAAGATAAGTCCTTCTTTTAGTCCTGGGCCAAGTTTCATTTTACTTTATTTTATTTTATTTTTTCCTAGCTTCAGTCTTGTTTATTCGGGTTGTTTTCCTTGGCCATGTTTCTGCTTAACCCTCTTAGCGAGATTGCTCCTTACAAATATTTTCTACGGTGGTGTGGTGGTTAAGGTACTGGATTCCCACACGGCTGGCTGCGGTTCGAGTTGTAGACCTGGAAGTTTGCTTTCTCACGTTCACTCTCTCACTCTGTGGCTCTCTGGTAAAATGAAAATAATAATAATAACAGTGATAAATAAAATGAAATATTTTAAAGAAAAATATTTTATAAATAAATAGATCTTGTTTAAAGAAAACCTTATTTTTAAAAAATGACCTGGCCCATATCCCTCCAATAGTTATCAGGTATCCAGGTATCTATCTCTGCTCAGAACAGCAGAGAGGTATGTAGTATTTGCCCTCTGTAACATGTGCAGCCGTGTGACCTGCTGTCATGGAGGTCATGCACCTGCGAGACAGAAGCTCCCGAGGGATCTGCTCACGCCTCCTGCATCAAATCTCCCTCTCAGAAAGATGCTCTCAGGCGTTACTCAAGCAGACGTGGGAGGGCACCCAATGTGGATTTTTGTAAAAGGCAAAAGGTTTATGCAAGCTGAATGGGAGTCAGAATGCACGTTCCCAGAGTCAGACACACACTCTCCTCAGTTAGGTTGTCCTCCGTTCCTTAGAGCTGCCAGCTCCGAGCCACTGGCACTGCTGTACCTTGCAGCCGACCTCTGACACTCAACTCAAGGGCTAGGCAGAGTGAGCTAGGGCCTGGAACGCGACTCCCAAACCCCAAGTTTCTTTGTATTTCCAGCTGTTGTCATATGGTTGTCATTTCAGTAAAACGAGCAGGACCCTGGTGCTTCTTTTCGTGGGACTCCTGACAGGTTCTAAAATGCCTTATCACTTTCCTACCTGACAGGTCGAGGCCATTCAGGCTGGGAGGGGGAATTTGCAGACACAAACCTAGGAATGTTGTGTTTTTAGCCATTGAGCAGAATTCTTCGTTTAGGGCCAGCCAGTGGTATGGTGATTATGGAGGCTGGCTCCCACATAACTGGATTCCATCAGGGCTGCACATGTGGTTCAAGTCCTGGACATAGCAGCTTTAAAAACATGCTGGGCTTGTGTACACGCATGCCTAAAATCCCGAGAGGAGAAAGGAGGAGAAGGGAATGTGGTATGGCCCATCCCCCCTGAGGGTTCTCTCTCTCTCTCTCTCTCACTCTCACTCTCCAGTGAATGCACATGTCCTATAGCAAATTTTAAAAAAAGAATTCAGTTTAAAATCGTGCGCCTTTAGTGTCCAGCTCCCTATAGGAATCTTAACATAACCTTAATTTGTATGTTATATGCATTCCTAGAAAGTCATACATAGAATCATTGACTTCTATTAAAATTTCAAAGATGTTTTCCTACTATTAAAAAAAAGCATTCATCAACCCATAATAAAAGGACCTTTTAAAATCCTAATTTTAATTTCAAAGGGCTGTCCTGCTTTCATTGATGTTCAGTCTGCTAGCATTTAATTTGCTCATAAAACAGCTGTAAGCAGTTAGTCAAATGGACAATCAAACCACATGGTCAGGGATACTCATAAGTTAGAATACATCACACAGTAAATTTCCATTTCACAGGGAGTTTTTTCATTCGACTGCTTCAGTGAAGTACTATGTTCTCTATCTTTTTATCTGAACATGTTCAAGAAACCCACATCTGAAGTGGCATCATTATTAATTCATTCAACAAAAATCTTAATCCCCTTTTTTTGGAACAAAGCAAGGTAAAAATTAACTGTGTATTTATTTAATAAAGATATGTTGAGGGACCAGCAGGTGGCACAGAGGTAAAGGTGCTAGATCCCACAGGGTCAATTCTGCAATTGAAGTCCTAGACCCAGTGGCCTAAAAGTCATACCAGGCATGGGACCAGCAGGTGGTGTGGTGGTTGAAGGCACTGGACTTCCACATGGCTGACCGTGGTTCAAGTCCCGGATCTGGGGACTTGCTTTCTCTCTTTTCCTCTCTCTCTCTCACTCTGTCCCTCTCTAGTCTAATTTAAATAAATAAAGTTAAATAAAATAATTCTTTAGGGAAAAAAACAGTCATACCAGGCATGCGTGTGTGCATGCCTAAAATCCTAAGCAAAGACGGGAGGAGAAGGGATTGCAGTGTGGCCATCCCCTCTGGGAGATGATTTCTCTTCTCTCTTTCTCTCTCTCTGTCTCTCTCTAGTGAACACACACATACCATAGCAAAAACTAAAAGAAAAAAATATTTTTTAATAAAAAAAAGATATATTGAGTCATGTCAAATATTTGGAGAAAAGTGGCGAATAAACTCAATCTCTGTCACCAAGGAATACCAGGGAACTTCTTCCTATTTTTTTAAATGATATAATATAGAGCAACACTTTTTTTCAGAGAGAGAAAGAGAGAAGAGAAAGCACTCCCTCATGGGGTATGGTCACGCTGCAATTCCTTCTTCTCCATCACTTCCTCCTTGGGGGATTTTGGGCATGTATATGCATGAGCCTGACATGATTTTCAAGCCACCAAGTCTGGGACTCGAACCATGGCATCAGTCATGTGGGGTCTGGCCACTTCAACTATCAGGCCATGGAGCTGGCCTAACTGCAATTTTGAATTTCAACCTCATTTACAAATGTTTACCTAGTTTGAAGTAAATTTTTAAAAATAATTATTTATTTTATTTTATTTATTCATTCATTTATTTTAATTTGACCAGAGAGAGAGAGAAAGTGAGAAAGTGAGAAAGCGAGCCTCCAGGTTTGGTACTCGAACCGTGGATGGCCATGTGGGAGTGTCTAGTGCCTTAACCACCATACCGCCTGCTGGTCCTGAAGAAAATTTTTATATAGATGATTATAGTAGCTGTATCTATCTATCTGTCTGTCTGTCTGTCTATCATCTATCTATCTAAAACACCCAGGTAGGTAGGTAGGTGGATGGATGGATGGATGGATGGATGGATGGATGGGTGGATGTAGTGAGGATGCTGTTACTTTGGCCTAGCCAGATTTCACTGCTGTGGGAAAGACATGTTTTTAGGTGACATAAGCACTTCTAAATTTGCACTTTATAACCAAGGTGGTATGACCCCAGCTTTAAATCAAGTTGGCTCTATACTTGGTCATCAGTCAGTGTTTACTGATCTCGACTGACTGATAACACAAAGCTTCCGAGACCTGCATCTGACCTGGTGACAGAGCCCTAACGGCTTTCTCTGAATAACGTTGTGAGTTTGTGCAGCACCTTTCTAGGTAAGACTTTGCCAGAGCCCACCTCCTCCCAGGACCAATGCACGTGGTGGGCTCTGCATCCTGGAAGTCCCGTCCTGTCCACCCACTGCAGGTCATAGCGACAGACTGGTAGAGCAGGGTCCCCAGCTGTGCATTCATGGAACACTGCTTTCTGAATTTTCCTGTCCCATCGAACCAAAATAAGGCTCTCACCAGTACCAAACCTGGAGAAAATAGTGAAAACAGGACCGTTCTAAGGAATGGCACACTGATCTTCTGACCTCGGGTACAATTTCAGCCTGTTAGGATTGCCTCATCCCTTCCCCACCATCTTCATTTTTCCATTTGGACACTTAGTGCCAGCAGTAAGAACAACACATTTTTGAATTAAGAATTTCCTATGGCTCTTTGCTTTGCCTCATGAATGTAAACAGTGCCTGTCCCATGGGGAAGTTCGGCTAGGAGTAGAGATGGCTTCCCTACCACTTCTCCTACTGATCAGAGCCGAGCGTGTCAGGTACAGGAGCAGAAAGCCTGGACCTTCCTCAGACCAACTGGGCTAATGCACAGGGCCCTCTGCCTGGCCCGTGTAGGCTGAGGTTGGCTCAGGCATCTGCTAGCTGGCCTTGATAATGAAATGCTCAGGTAGAGTCTCCACAAGAGATTTCTCGGTGCCTCCTCATTTTTTAGTCCATTTCTCTCTTGCAAGAATAGAAATGTTTTTCACCAAGGTTTTCCTGTCCTCTTGCTCCCTTTTCTAATGCCTTCGCTTTACCGAAGTATTTCTTGCCATTGCCCCCAGATATGCAGACTGTAGGAGAAGGAGGCCTTACCCATTCCTAAGGCTTCCTAGATACAGGGGTCAGTGAAGGCTACCTGCACAGAGGGATCCAGTTTAAATAGAGCCAGATTTAGGTACTGGGGCTGGGAGCCAAGCCTGACCACAGTCACCCACGATGAGGAACAGAAAGAGGAAGCGAAGAGACCCATTAGAAGATGAAGTAGCCGAGGAGCAGAGGACAGACAGGCGAGAAACTCGAAAGTGTTTATCTCCCCTTCCTGGTGCTCGTTTTCTGCAGTGCCCGGTGGTGCAGTCATGCGGTGCAGCCTCCTGAGAGTTAGCGAGTGCCTGCTCTGTGTGCCAGCACTGTGAGGTGCCATAAGACCGAGACCATAGCTTTATGGTTAGTCTTCTGTTATAGGAAGTACTAAATAACCTGAGTTAAATTAATGAAAACTAATGTCAAGAATCCTTTTTTGAAAGGCATTTCCGGGTCCTAAAGCAGTTTCCAGTTTATTGGGGCAGGTGGGTATGCATGAGAAGAAAATGACAGAGCAGCCCAAAAGCAAGTAGAGGCGGGTGCAAGTCTCAAGATGGCTGATGGAGGGAAGGGACTCAATAACTCCTGGCCAGGTGGAATTGCTGATTGGGAAGTTATTAGAGCAGTGGTTCCCTAACTACATCAGAGTCAGCTGGAAAGTTAAACTCGTTGCTACGCCCAGTCCCGCAAGCACCCATCCATCAGGTCTGAAGTGGGGCATAATATTTGCATCTCTTGTGAGTTCCCGGGTGATGTTGATGCTATTGTTGATTCTAGCTGGCCTAGAATCGTGTACCTGAGCACAGGTGAATATTGTGAGTGGTGAAACAGAAGGACTTCTATGACTTTAAGTTGTGGTTGAACTTCCTCTTTGAGTTTACCCTAAATAGTTATGAGACCTTCCGTGAGTCAGGCTTTCTAGGCCTCTTTCAGCTATAAATAAAGAAGCTGAACTAGCTGGTTTCTAAGGTCCTTCCTTCCCTCCCAGTTCTAAAAGTTAGCACCAAATGAACTGGATGGGGCCCTTTGCTTTGTCTTGCTGAGTTCTGTTCAGAGAGTGGACAGAGGCCTCAATCTCAGAACCCAAGGGCATGGCCTGGTTTGCTCGATTTTTCTGTCATTCCTTCCCAATGTTTGTGGTGATGGGCATTAATTTCTCTCCTTTTTCCCTCTGCCTTTTTTCTTCTTCAACACCTCTAGGAGGAAGAGCAAAAGCAGGCAGTAAGTGAACTTCAGAATTCTTTCTCGGGCTCCTCCTTCCGCATGCTTTTTTTTTTCTTCGTATACATGTTGTATGTTTTCTCCTCTCCTCCCTGCACGACATCTGCTCTGAAGAGTCAGTTATGTGTAAAACCCTCAGTAGTTTCCCCGTGGCGTTGTAAATTGGCCTGAAAGCCCAAATCGTGTTTACCTAGTAGAGCATGCTCTTACTTGAAACTAGAGCTTGTTGCATTTTTTGAGCACACAGTTGTGTTTATTTAAGTATGCATGATTAGCCAGGCTACCATTTACATTCTCCTTCTCTCTTACCCGCTGCTGTTTTGTGTCTAGAGTGGCCTGAATTGCTTGAAACAACTTTTGGGGTGGTGAGGTGACCTCAGGTTTGAAAACTGTGTCAGGAACAAATATGCATGGACACGGGTTCTTTTCGTACCTTGAGGTGGCCTGCAGTGTCAAATAGGCTTCTGGATGCTACAGCTCTAGACACCTTAGCAGCATTACCAATAATATTAGGAGGCTGACTGCCCTGGAGGCAGTTTCCTGGTCAGCGCCTACTCCAGAGGGAGCTTGGGTTTTTCCAAGCTGCATGGCTGTTGCATGTTGTTTGGGGGAAGGTTTATGTTTGTATTTTACCTGATAAATGAGCCTACATGGGAAAACCAACCAGAGGGCCTATTCACAATAGTAACACCATGTGTGCATGTAACACAGTAAGGTTTTCAAAGCATTCATTGTTTATACAGTTTAAAGCTGAATTGTAGTTTACCTCAGGGCTTCTTTTTTTTTTTTAAGAGAGAAATATAAAATGTTTAATTTTTTAAAAAAATAATCTGTATTTTCTTTTTATTTATTTATTTTTTTTGAGAGGTTTTTGCTATAGGGTGTGTGCGCTCGCCAGACAGAGAGACAGAGAAACAGAAAGTGAGAAATCACCCCCTGGGGAGATGGTCATGCCGCAATCCCTTCTCCTCCATTCTCCTCTCGGGATCTTGGGCATGCACGCACACGCGCCCAGCGTGAGTTTAAGCCACTGGGTCCAGGACTTGAACCACAGCTGACTACGTGGGAGTCCAGTGACATAGCCATTACACTAACTGCTGGTCTCAATTATCTGTATTTTCAAAAACACGAATGTATCCATGTTTTAGATGAAGAGGGATCTGAGATGTTATACTTGTTCTTTCCAGTCAGGAGTCCGTGGAGTCACAGAGTAAAGAGGAGAGGAAAGGAAAGGAGGAGATAGGTCGTGAGGGGAAAAGGCAAGAAGGGGTGAGGAGGAGGAGGCGGACCGTCAGAGTGAGGGAACAAGATGGAGTCCAGCACGGGGTAGGCTAGCAACCCAGCAACCTCAAGGGCTTTAATGGAGCAAATTTTGGGTTGGCGTTATTTTTGTTCGGTTTGGTTTTGCTTTTTTCCTCATCCACACAGTTTCTTGCTTTGATCTTATAGCACAGCCACAGCAATAGGTACATTTACATGGGCAAAGCAGGAGAAGAATGAGATGGAAAACAAGTCCACGTTAAATTCTGTGGGGGGAGGGGCAGCAGGCAGTGGCCTGGTGGCTAAGGCACTAGACTCCTATCTAGCTGACCACAGTTTGAGTCCCAGACCTGGTGGCTTTAAAATCATAATGGGTGCATGAGCATGCATGCCCAAAATGCCAGGAGGAGAATGAAGGAAAACGGATTGAGCATGGCCATCCCCCATGGGGGTGATTCCTCACTTTCCTCTCACTCTCTCTCTCTCTCCATCTCTCTTCAACAAGCATATGCACACTATGGCAAAAACTGAAAGAGAGAGAGAGAGAGGAAGAGAGAGAATGGAAAGAAGGAAGGAAGGAAGGATGGAAGGATGGACGGATGGAAGGAAGGAAGCCAGCCAGCCAGCCACACACACCACTTCTGTTCCATTTCACTGGCCAAAGCAAATCACATACCCACAATTAACTTCAAGGAGGCCGGGAGGTCTGGCCCTCCAGTTTGCTTAAAAATGGCAGAGAAGCTGGCTTTGCCTCCCACAGGTAGGAAAATGAGGGAGACTGTGTTGGAGGGAAAGGAAAGAGACCATGTATACTTCCAGCTCCCCCTCCCACTCACTCCTTACTCAGCCTTAGCTCACGATTCAGTATCAC